GAGCAGTATGGTCATTTTAACTATATGGATTCTTCTCCAGCCTGAGCAACAAAGCAAGACTCTGTCTCAAAAAAAAAAAAAAAAAAAGGATTATATTTTCTAGCTGTTTGGCTTTAGCTTAAATTACACAAGTGGAAAGAAATATAATGTTGCCTCTGTGTCTTTTCCATGTTTTTCTCCTACTTGAATGTGGGGTGTCTCTCCCCCATCCCACCTGGAGGTCTCCTGTGTGCAAGGAACTGGCTGGTCTAAGTGGTTCCAGGGGACACCCCAGGACCAAGCTCTGGCATGATCCACCCGCCTCAGGCATGAGCCACTGGGCCTGGCCTGTGAATGGTCATTATTTTTATATCAAATGAATACAGTAGCCACCAGTAAATTCATTAGTTAAAAACGTTTTCGGCTAGGCATGGTGGCTCACGCCTGTAATCCCAGCACTTTGGGAGGCTGAGGCAGGCGGATCACGAGGTCAGGAGATCGAAACCAGCCTGGCTAACACGGTGAAACCCTGTCTCTACTAAAAATACAAAAAATTAGCTGGGCATGGTGGCGGGCGCCTGTAGTCCCAGCTGCTTGAGAGGCGGAGGCAGGAGAGTTGCTTGAATCCAGGAGGCAGAGGTTGCAGTGAACCGAGATTGCACCACTGCAGTCCAGCCTGGGTGACAGAGTGAGACTCTGTCTAAAAAAAAAAAAGGATTTTCAAGGCCAAGTGAGGTGGCTCACGCTTTCTAATCCCAGCACTTTGGGAAGCCGAGGTGGAAGGATGGATTGAACCCAGAAGTTTGAGACTGGCCTGGGCAACATAGTGAGAGCCCGTCTTTACAAAAAATTAAAACATTAGCGAGGTGTGGTGGCACCACCTGTGGTCCCAGCTACTCGGAAGGCTGAGGCGGGAGGATCCCTTGAGCCTGGGAGGTCGAAGCTGCAGTGAGCTGTGGTGGTATCACCACATTCCAGCCTGGATGGCACAGCAAGATCCTGTCTCAAAAAAATTTTTTTTCCAAACTCCCATTTTAACAGACTGTTTCTGCCGGGTGCAGTGGTTCACGCCTGTAATCACAACATTTTCGGAGGCCAAGGTGGGCGGATCACTTGAGGTCAGGGGTTTAAGACCAACCTGGATAACATGATGAAACCCCATCTCTACTAAAAATACAAAAATTAGCCTGGCATGGTGGCTGGCGTCTGTAGTTCCGGCTACTCGGGAGGCTGAGACAGGAGAATCACTTGAATCCGGGAGGTGGAGGTTGCGATGAGCCGAGATTGTGCCACTGCACTCCAGCTCGGGCGACAGAGCAAGACTCCATCTCAAAAAAATAAACCCCAAAATAACAAAAAACCCCAGACTGCTTCCCTGTAATTCTTCTAAAGAAAATGCCTGACAGGAAATAACTTAAGGATATTGTGGGTTTTTATTGTTGTTACTTCGAGATGCAGTTGTGTCCCTAGAGACACAGTGGGGTCAGATCAGAGATGGGGTTCATTCAGGGGCACCCCCAGAACTGGGAGAGTCCTAGGCTTCCACTTACCCGTTGTGATGCTCCATGGCCACCAGGGGGCAACAGTACATCACTGTTCCAGCCCAGGGAGCGGCCAGCCAGAGCTTTGCCCTGGGGTATCCCTAGGAGCCACCTAGACCAGCTGGTTCCTTCCACACAGGAGACCTCCAGGTGGGATGGGGGAGAGACACCCCACATTCAAGTAGGAGAAAAGCATGGATAAGACACAGAGGCAACATTATATTTCTTTCCACTTGTGTAATTTAAGCTAAAGCCAAACAGTTAGAAAATATAATACTTTTTTTTTTTTTTTTTTTTTTTTTGAGACAGAGTCTTGCTTTGTTGCTCAGGCTGGAGTGCAGTGGTGCGATCATAACCCACTGCAGCCTCCGCCTCCCAGGTTCAAGCGATTCTCCTGCTTCAGCCTCCTGAGTGGCTGGGATTACAGGTGCCCACCACCACGTCCGGCTAATTTTTGTATTTTTAGTAGAGATGGGGTTTCACCATGTTGGCCAGGCTGGTCTCAAACCCCTGACCTCGAGTGATCTGCCCGTGGCCTCCCAAAGTGCTCGGTTTACAGGTGTGAGCCACGGCATCTGGCCTTATGTAAGTTTTAAAAGCCTCCATAAACACCATTTTTTGTATATGGTTTAACAACACAGAGTAAGAGGATAAAATTAGATTGGGAATTACCCTCCTTAAGGTTAGAGTACTAATAAATTGTGGAGATACATGTGATGAAAATAAATGGAACCTTAATTGCTTCTGCAATTTTATTTCTTATTTTTATTACTAATTTTTGCTCTAAAATCTGTCACTGTAGCTATTTATTTTTATTAAAAAATGTTTAGACATCCTTTTAGGTAGTACGTACATTATTCCTGTAGCATTCTGTAAGTTGGAAATATTGCAAGCATTTAAAAAAGTCTGGGATGCCGTGACTCAGCTCACTGCAACCTCTGCATCCCTGGGCTTTGAACCCTGGTTCTCTGA